CTGTAACGGAATACAGTTACTCATATTTTGTATTTTAAATACGTAACGGCGGTACATGTATTCCGTTACTCCCCAACACTGAGTGCTGAATACATAATTTTAAGAAAGTATTTAAAAGTGAAGAGACGGTTTGTGGTCTGGAGATCTGGTGGAAGTGTGGCCAAAGTCTCAGGACAGAACAACTAAAGGCTCTGAGTCCCATGGTAGTCAGATGAGCAGGTGGAACAGACAGAAGGGAAGCTGAAGAAGAGCAGAGTGTACGAGGGGGTGAGTATGTGTGGAGAAGATCAGATAAATATGGAGCGAGGTTATGAAGGGCTTTGAAAGTAAGAAGCAGGATCTTGAAATTGGCATGGAGGTGAACCCGGAGCCAATGGAGCTGTTTAAGAACAGCTGTTGTATGTTCAGTGGATCTAGTTCTGGATACAATACGAGCAGCTGTAATTTGAACTAAATGCAATTTATGGAGGTGGACCATAGAGAAGAGAATTAAAGTAATCTGAAAGAGATGTGAAAAGAGCATTGACAAGTATGACGGTACTGTTTGGAGTGAGTGAGGGATGAAGGCGTTTAACTCATTCACTGCCAGCCATTGGCAGTGAATGAGTTAAACCCATTGACTCATTCACTGCAATTGACGGCTATAGACGTCAATGGCAGTGAATGAGTTAATATTACGGAGATGAAAATATTATATGTGCTGTGAAGGAAACAGTGCTATCAAGGATGACACCAAGACTCTTAACCTGAGGGAAGGGTGTGACAAAACAGTTATTAATGGATAATGAAAGACTTCTGGTTGGAACTTTAGTCAGTTTTGATTTGGTGCCTACTAGAATTAATTCTGTTTTATTGCCATTAATTAATTAATTTTTCTTTTTCTTTTTTTTGCCTGTCCCGTTTGGCTCTTTTGCATCAGAATTATTGTCTAAAGGCGAAGAAAGATGCCCAACGGATTTACTTTACCAAATTGACCATCCCAGCCTTGCCGTAATGGTCTATTTGATTCACCTTTCATTGTTTATTTTATTTTTTATTTTCACTTGCTAGATACGGGACAGACTTGAATGAGGAAAGAAAAGGGAGAAAGGAAGAGGGAAAGAAAAACAGCGGACAAGAGGGACGGGGATAAAGGGCAAAAAAACAAAAACCAACTAAATAAGCAGACAAAAAATACATATATCAACCACCTGGATCACCTGTTGAGAAAGAAAAAGAAAACAAGAAAATGAGAGCAATACAATAAACAACATCACGATGATCTATGTGAATATGACAGTAAATACTAAATATTAAACATTATTGTGCAGCACGTAAGATCAACAGAACACAGTGTGCTTTGAGGTAGGAGCCAAAAAGGGTGTAGTTTGTGGGTGTGATCACCCGTGTGTACACCTGTGAGCATGGACGCGCTTGTTTTTTGTTTTTTAAAAGGTTCCTTCATGTAATGATCTGCTAGAGGGTGTGGGGGGGCCACAGCCCCGTCCTCCAGGGCATGAAGCAGGTATGGAGGAGATCAAAACTCCAGACATCCAGAGGCCCCCAGAACACAAGAGACCAAGGAAGACCAACAGAGGAGCTGTCCCAGAAAGAGCTGAGGAGAGTCCCAGATGAGGGCTCACTCAGCAGCCGCGGAGCAGAAGCCAGGGGGGGTTGCAGTGACGCGCCCGTGAGCTCCGCCGGCAGCCAGCTGCGCCTGAGTGACCGAGCCCCAGGCCGAGAGGCCGGAGGCACCCCACCTCCGAAGTGGCCCGAGCGAGCCCCAGGCTCCAGGCCCCGACAAGAAGCCACCAAGGAGTGCCATTATTGCCATTGATTTTAAGGGAGTTGTGGGTAAACCAGACCTTGATTTCACTTAAACAGTCAGAAACTGATGTGGGTGGGAGAGTAGCTGTGGGTTTGGAGGACAGGTAGAGATGGGTGTCATCTGCGTAGCAGTGAAACTGGATGTTATATTTTCTGAAAATATTACCTAGGGGTAGGAGATAGATAATAAAAAGGACCCAGGACAGAGCCTTGGGGAACACCGGAGTTAACTGGAGTAGATACTGATCTGTGAGTAACTGAACAAACTGTGAGTAGCCAGAGAGATACAAGGTCAACTAGGCGAGTGCTGTACCACTGATCCTAATAGATGTTAATCTATAAAGAAGGATGCGGTGGGAAATAGTATCAAAAGCTACTGTAAGGTCAAGGAGAATGAGGATGGAGATGAGTCCAGAGTCAGCTGCAAGCAGAAGATCAGTAGTGATTTTTACTAGAGCTGTTCCTGTACTATGAAAAGAACGGACGCCGGACTGAAACAAGTAATTTCCAGTGAGGTGTCTATGAACCTGTGCAGCCACTATTATTTCATGAATTTTGGCTAGGAAAAGTAAAATTTGAAATGGACGTTATTTAAATGGGAAGGGTCTGAAGCATTCTTTTTCTTTTTACAGTAGTCCAGCCTAGAAGTAATAAATGCAGGAACTAGTTTTTCACTCAGGATGTTTCTAAATTTAGAGACATAGCAAAAATGCAAGAAAGCAGTCCTACATAGTTGTTTAATATGTGCACTGAAGGACAAAATTTGATTTGTATCATCTGGCTTCATGAATAAATAAAGGTGCGTATCAGCTGCATAGCAGTGAAAACGGATGCAGTTTTTTACTAAGATTATCTAAAGAAAGCATTTATAATGTAAATAAAATTGGTTCCAGCACAGAAGCCAGTGGAAGTCCACGAAAAACTTCTATGTGTGAAGAAGGCTCCAAGTTTACATGAACAAACTATTGTTTGACACAGATATGTTTCAAACCACTCCAGTGCAGTACCTTTAATGTGTTCTAGTCTCTGTAGTAAAATATTGTGCTCAGCAGTATTGAATGGTGCAATGAGATCTGACAGGACAAGCACAGAGATGAGTCCACTGTTAGAGGCCATAAGAAGATCATTTGTAACCTTCACTATTCTTTTTCTGTGCTGTGATGCACTCCAGATCCTGATTGAAACTCTTATAATAAATCATTACTCTGAATGGGTCGACTAGGCACATTGACGAGCTAAAAATCATAGATGTTAACCTAAAACGATCAGACAGAGACATGAAGATCACAAAAATCTCATACAAAGTTGGAGAATTCAGAAACCCAGAGTAAGGCCCAGGAGGACAACAGACAACAACAATAAAATAAGTTTTTGAGTTTTCCAGCTAGGGTGGACATGACTGGTCACAGAGAGAAGGTCATAGGGAGACGGGTCCAAGAAACACAGAGAAAGACAGGTCAGATGGACAGACACATCAGAGAGACCAGGGGATCAGAGACCTTCTGTGATTGGTAGAAGGGATCCAGATCCTCCAATGGGGTGCAGAGAAGCTGAGGGGGGGGGGCACCATAGATGAAAGGGAGGGACTTCCCAGTCTCCAGGTGACGAGCAGGTTTGGTCAGGTTTTTCTCACTTGCCTGGGTTACACAGAAGAGCTTCCCCTCATGCAACTTATCAGCAGTATTAATTTTACTGATTGATTATCTATCACTGATTCCTGAAAGTTGATCGGTACCTTTTGGTGCTTCCACGCCTTTCGCTCCTTTACCTCAGCTTCGTGTCGTTGTTGGACCACCTCCTTTGAGACTGCTGTGAAGCATCTGAAAACCTCCATACCTACAGGTGGCAGCAGAGACGCCATTCTCTCATCCTGGAGAAGTGGTCGAACCTCGCTGTTGCCTAGCAACAGGTTTCTGTTGGGAAGAGAGGTTTTGGTTTGGTTTCCTTGAAGCCACTTACAGAGGTGCAGCTGTCTGTAGGGCTGTTATTAATCATTATCAGATTTCTCAGTGTTATTCGGTTCAATTTTATTTAAATAACACCAATTCTGTCACGGTCTGGCTGGCAGACCGTGGGGATGTGGGGAATGAGGACCCAAAACGCAGGTTTCTGCGATGCAAACAGTGCACTTTATTTACAGTGAAAGCTGTAAACACAATAAATCCCCGTTGCTCCCTTGACTCCTGTGTGTGTGCTCCCCTCCGACGTCTGTGCTCATGCTCCCCGCTGTCGTGCTTCCGCACACCCCGTGCGTGCTTCCTTTCTGGTCCACTCTTCCACCTGCAGGAAAACCACAGAAACAGCCGTCAACACTGACCCCCACGGGCATACACGAACTGCACTCTTATACACTGCCACACACTAACTTGGGATGACAACGCAATGATCTCGCGTCGGTGAGAGCTCCAACACTCTCCTAAGTAGCTCCCCCGACGAGGCCTGCAGGTGGCTGTCCTCCATCCTCCAGACACACACACATGTACACACCCACACCCTACCTATACATATAATGAGTGGAACACAGAATAACACAGCATTGTGCAGAAAAACACACACATCACCAAATAATAACGATAATAATAATAATAATAATAATAATAATAA